TGTGAGGAGAAAATAGTGACGGCTTTGTAGCAATGCAGCAGTCCAACAGTAAACAAATTATGGGTAGTGAAATTACAACATTCAATGTCACATGTTGCTAGCCCACATCAAAAACCAGCTGTAACTGTAGGCACCAGGCACACATCTTCCTCAACGAAGTCGTAATAATATCATAATAAATAACATATGTGCATTGACTCATCCCTAACACATGCATTTACTTGTTAATTCATTCATACTCATAGTTGAGGTGGGATGCAGCTTGCAGAATATGTGGGGATCCTGTGAAAGTAAATCATGAGTAAAAAAGCAATACAACTTCAAATATGAATCTAATATATCAGTGTTTCTCAACCTTTTTGAGCCGTGGCACACCTTTGTCCTCCAAAACAATCACATGGCTCACCACCAGCTGAAACCGATGCAAACTCTTAAGCCTTTATTAACAAAGCAAAGTCATTCTTATCAAAGTGTATTCTATCAAAAATCAAACAAGCACAAACAAGTTATAAGCCACTCACATTATTGTCTTTTCACACAATTTTTACCAATCAGGTGATATTGGATTCTTTTCAAAGGCACACAAATCTCAAGGCACATCAACGTACCACGCCTGGTTGAAAAATGATGTAGACTCATTTCATGCAAAGTGGTATATGCCAAGCTTTGTTTGATACGTTTGTTTGATTTTAATTTTGAACTTTATATCCCCTTTATACCATATTATATGAAGGTGTGATGTATGTGTAAGAGTCCATACATTAGTTGAATTGCAGAAGTACAAATATATTCTAATTTTCACATTTTGAATGGTCAATGCAATTTAATCATATCAAACTGAGGCTGGTTTCATGTCTCTATTGGAAAGGTTAAAAATATGTAACCTTTCAATACATTCCATTGGATTATGTACACAAAATAAATATTTCTAAATTCTGAATATTCACCGGATTTCCTCTCGTCTTGAAAAATCCATCATGAGCCAAACAAACATAAGCCAACTCCATGATCTAAAAATTCTGTTCTTGGCGTCTGCGCGGTTACAAACGTGCTGCCTTCACTTGCTCCAGTAATGCCCACTGAGGTTTGAACTTGGGCGATTTGACTCAGATTTATTCAGTGCAAAGGATGAATGAGCGTGCCCACCTTGATGTAAGTCGCACTCGCCTCAATCGCATCACTATTCCCTGGCACCTGCGTGGCTCTGAGGACACATTTGTTGCACACTCAGCCAGGCTTTAAATTGAATAAAGGAGGTCACTATTTAACAGCCCCAGTGACAAGTCAAGTCTGGCACCTGTAAAACTTTGACTTTTATTTACCAATCTTGAATCAGTGCGCTGAAGTTGTGCCAAACCCCAGACGAGGACACATTAAATTGACCTTTTTATAAACAGTAAAATTGACCTTTTGGAAAACAGTAAAGTCCTCCAAAATTTGAATTGAACAGTTGTTTAATGTCAAATCTTTTTGATGTGAAGAGATGAGAACCTGCTCATTCTCATCTCTGCAGCTTCTTGATTGGTCAAAATTATTTCAAATCCTTGAGGCCCCTTGTCTTTGGGTCACAATTCTCCTTCATTAAATCTTACCGGTCACGGTTATACCAAAGGGAGTCTATAATGTCCCATGGTCAGACACATACATTATTTTAAACATGAAATACATTTAAGTTTAACCACATTACCCTTAAAGGACACTGTACTATTATGTATTTTACAATTATAATTAAGTATTATCCATGCATGGACTTGATCACTTTTTCTTTGTCATTTCAGATGTGGATAAATACAACTACAGGAATGTTTTTATGAGAGAACCATGTTACATGTTAAACAAAAAGTCAGTTTTGCATAATACGTCGTTCAAATCAATATTGCACTTGTATGTGTCATTGTTAACCAGCCTGTGATTATTGGGGCACATGTTGCCAGAGACAAAGTGCACCAGAACTGTCCGATTACAGTAAGTGTGATGCTATCAGTTTAGACTGAGCTACGTGATTCCCAGTGTTTTACCAAAACAAGACATGTGTTCAGGAGCTGTCTGTTTTGCTGATAGCGCTCTTCATCTGAATTATAACCGCACAGCCCGGCGCGGTCCAGATAAGCCTCCATGTTCTGAGAGTCAAGGCTGAACAAAGGTGTCTGCTGTGAAGGGCAACATACACTGTGCACTATGGTGATGAATGTCTCTAGCATGCCACATCACTCACACCAGCCAAGCATTCAAAAAAGCTTGATTAACCAGCGAGGAGGCCCCTTGTGATAAAAAAGACTGCATTTCCGCCATATAAATGTTTATTTATTTATATATTCTCGTACAAATCAAGCACTCTCTGACATAGTGCTTTTCTGATGTTGTCACATGAATCAATATGAAGCGTCTGCTCCCATATTTAACAAGCAATCTATTACACGGTTCGATCTAAGGCTGAGGAATGTACAGAGGGATTTTGATGGCATTTCCAACTTAATTTAGATTAGTTGCAAATATGACGATAATTTGTGAGGTTGGTTTGAATATATATAGCAGATAAATGTCTTTTTTAGCATACAGTATGTCATCTTCTTGTCATCTTCTTTTCTTTCTTTTCTAATATGGCCACAGTTAGTCCTGGCTTTCATTTACATACAATGAGATTTTGCAGTAACAGCGAAGGAATACATGAATTGGAGTGGCCCATGTTTAACCACATTGTCAAGGGCTCATTGTTTTTGTCATGTGCACCCATGTTCATTTCATAAGTGAATACAGAGAAATGGAGAAAATACTGAAAACAATTATAAGAGGCAAAAGTCATGCTCTGCAAATGTAGCATGAACTCTGCTGCTCTCCAAGGTCCAACATCGCGGATAAAATAACAATTTGTTCGGCAATAATTTGCCTGTGGTCAAAACAAAGGTTACAAACAACATCTCTACATTTATGAGGATAATTCTATCTGAAAACAAGATCCAATTACTGTGTGTGTGTGGGCATGTAATCGCACATTTAAATGCAGCAGTGTGTGAGGTGTTGGTAGATAGGCAACCTGCCAAAGCACTCAACTATCAACTACACATGAGACTGATGCGAAGGCCTAAATTCCTCCCAGTATCGCCACTGTTCACCAAGTAACACGCACGCTATTGGATTTTTTCCGCCTGAACTCCCGGCATATAGCAGAATGTTACTAATAGCAGTCCCCCAGTCAGATTACAAGGGTGCGAGGGGAGGTAATGTATGTCACTGGAGGGGTGTTGGCAGATCTCTTTCTCGCCTTGCTGCCGTGCATGAGTTTGGCCCATCTGTAATGCTACGTTCATAAATGAAGCGAGCTGATGCCTGATGGCTGTCTACGAGCTGTGCACCTTTACAGCACTTTCTCCACTCTCTAGTAAAAGAGGGAAAAAAATGCACATGTCTCAATTGAACAGTGGCCTTTAATGTGCTTGACAAGAGTTTGACAGGAATTGGTGAGAATGGGGTACGGTTCTCTGGATTTCTGCTTTTATAAGGTGCTATATATGAGGCGAACGTGCATGGCGGTGTTTTTATTGTAATTCTTTCAGCTTCCCCATTTTGGGTGGTGTAACGTGTGGGTGTACCTATTGTCATTGGGTTTGCACATGACTAAAGCCTAGTGTATACTTGCGCGGCGTGGCTTACGTTAGCGGTTGCGGTGGACCTACGTAAGCATAATTGATGTTATACTGGCGCGTTCCCCTTACGGAGTTTTGAGGAGAATGTTGTAATCCCACAACAAACCACATGAGGGCGATCACACAGGAGCGGTCCCATTTACGCTGCTACTTTGTCCTCTTCAGAACAACAATAGCAAACAAAGCTGTTTGAGCTCATTAAACGTGTTTCTACTGCAGGTTTATGTGATAGTTTTATGGATTCATTATTGTATAAGTCATTTCAACTGTGATGCTGTGAATAAAGACACAGTTCTTTTTGGAAACATAGTTATTATTAAATAGTTTTCAGCACAAACAGCAAAACAATAATAGTGGTAAATACTTGAGACAAACATGAACGATTTACGAGTGCAGGAGGAAAGCAACAAACGCAGCTACGATTCAAACAAAGACAGGAACAGTGCAAAACAAACGACTGCACAGTTTATAAGTTATATATATGTTAGATAGTCCACAGTCTCCTGTATATCAGGCTCTGAGCCCAAACTGCTTTTCCTCCGAAGCACAAAGCTCTCTGCTCCATAGTTCCTCGTCCAGTGTCCCTGCTGCAGCCGCTTCATGCTTCCTTCCAATACACACACACGGACCAATCATAGCAGAGATTCCTTGCGGCGACCCTTACGTAGTTAGAAAATTTCGATGCTGCGCGGCAGGCGACGTAAGGGCCTTGCGGTGACCAACGCGTTGGGCAAGTGACGTCACGTCGCCTTCGTAAGCTCCGCGCCGCGCGAGTATAAACTAGGCTTTATACTGGATGCTAATACTAGGTGCAAAAATATATAATATTGTTCAAAAGTTAATTTACTTATATCATTCTTACAATGAATTTCACATTTTTAAGATGTGAAACAAAAATATGAATCATTACATGCAAAGTGAGATATATTAAGTCTTATTTTTCATAACATTGAACTTTGGCTAACAGCTTAATAAATGAACGGTGAGCCATAATCATCAAAATTATAAGAACAAAGCCTTGACATTATGCAACTTTGTGCCTAATGAGTCCATATTATACATCGGTTTCACATTTTTATTTGATTTACAGAAATAAATTAACCTGAACATTATTTTAACTTATGAGTTTCACCTGTAGCATTTATTAATTACATTTGATCTATTTCTATTCACGTTGTTGATTGTTTTTATTCAAGTTGTTAGTGAACAACACTTGATGTCAAGCATTCATTGGATCAATGAGTTGTTAACTAACCTTGCTACCTAGCTTGCTTTATAAACTTCCCAAATTCTCTGATTTGTTCTACTTAAAGCTGACGTTTTGTTTTGTTCTGTGTGATTTCAGGTACAGAGGCCATGTTCTCGCAGCAGCCCCAGGACCTTGTGGTGGTTGCTGGTCAGCCGGTCACGTTACCATGCACTATCCCTGGGTATCACGGAGTGGTACTGTGGATCAAAGACGGCCTGGCTCTGGGAGTGGGGCGAGACCTTGCTGGTAAGAATTCAATTTTAAACTAATTACACTTCCTGTTTTCAATCTTCGTAATAATCTTGTGATGGCCAATTAACCAGATTTACCAATATTGGTTGAAATCAGTGATGACAATCAGCTGATCCTTAGTTCACAATGTCATCCACCCAACTTCAGCTCTGCCAATATAGATTTTGACTTTATGGAACAGCCATCTACATGTGATTGTGGCTCTCCAAACATGTAGCTGGAGGACGTTGTACCTCATTCTACAGCACAGAACTGCCTGAATACAATCCAGAAGTCCGGTGAACCAAAGTGCCATTCTTGGGACCTATTATTGTTGTTCCTTCCTTCTTAATCACAAAACAATACTTTCCAATCTTAGGCGCAGTCAATAATGCTATAAATGTGGACAATGGAATTAATTTGGTGAAGTCTTCTCACAATAATGCCAACAATGCCGACCTTACCCCTCATGTTTATCCATGACACCATTGTATCTGCCAGATAGCACGTCCACTGCCAGATGAGCCATGTGCCATGCTGTTAATCCAGGAACTGCTATAAAAACAGGAATAATAATGATATCATAGCAGTCCACCTGTGTAAACAGAATGAGAAGCTTGTGGCCCAATATTTGTGTATATAAAACCGACCGTGTGGCATAATTTTTGTTTGGCAAAGAAACACTGAATAAAATGTAGAATCAATAGCGCTGGCCTTTCTGTGGTGCTTCAGGCGGCTGAATTGCTTTGTGAAGAGCTGAGTCCTCTAATTACACAGCACCTCATGTATAATTGCCTTAATTGTTTAATTTGGAGTAAAAGTGACTACTACACTGTTATTTAGCTGCCTGTTGTTGCACCAGTCAGGGCCTTATGTTTATTCATGCTCTTGATGAGTTTCAACAGCACAAAGTTGCTTGTATAAATAAACACTTAGACCTTTTGAAATACTATATGGGGGGAAAAAAATGCAGGAAACAATTCTTTTATACAGAATATATGAATACACCTAACGTACTGCTACGTCCTGTTTAATAATGGCAATTCCGATCTTACTGATAGGTTTGTGTAATCACTCAGTCGTACAGGTATTATTCAAAACAAAACAAGGAAAGTTGCTCACCCAACATCCATACTTCAATAAGCAGGTTTTTCCAGTTTCTTACTAATAGGCTAAGATAAAAATGCAAGTTCTACAGCAATTAATGATTCGTTGTTCAGTGTTTGCAATGACCCCTGCACACCCACCTCCAGGCTGAATCACCTTCCATTCTACCCACTTCTCCACCACATATGAGCGCAACAATTAAGCCAGAGCCTCGGACACATTTGCATTCAACTTATTATTGTCTGAAAATTATTAATGTCATCCACGATCTGTGGATCTTACAAATGCAATGATATGACTCGCTTACCTCTTGAGTACAAGGATATTGGACCTTTTCAATTGGATATGATAACCCAATGTTCTAACCTTTACAGTTTTGAATGTTTGTATTTTTGCTGAATTTGAATAAAGCTAGGCGATTTATTTGTATAGCACTATTCATACTCAAAGCAATGCAATGTTCTTGACGGATAATGCATCAGGATTAGTGTTAAAGTTACACACATACTTTATAGCCACAAGCAGTGACTTGTGAATCTTATGATCTCAAGTGATTGCATTTATATTCTAAGAGAAATAGAGGGTCTGCTGCTCCTTGACCTTAAACCAATTCTCACGGAGGCCTTTGCTGTTGCTGATGGGGTGTGTAATTAAAGCAGTGCGAGCGGCGGAGCCAGTAAAGCCATCCCATTCAGTGTGCAGGTCCTTATCAGGCCCAGGGGAGAGCACAGGGCTTAGTAAACAATGGTCCACACGTCTCTGCACAGTTATGATTGTGAGAGATAGAACAGGCAGAGGTAAAGGGAGCACATCTATTTTATATTAGGTCAAAGAGGAGTAAAGATTTCTGTTCTGATTTGAACTTCTGCCTTTACCGTTAAAACTCAGACTACAGTGAAGGTTGGCCTTAATGGCCTGAACTAATAACTATAAACATGACAATTTGCTGATCAGTATACATGAATAGAATATGTAATAGAATAATGAATATACTAACAAAAACTTAATACAGTGAGTTTACAGAAGGTAAATGAGGAAATGTCAAGATGAGTTTCTGAAAATCCATAAATACGGACAGGAACTGTGCTCTCTTGCAGAGAGACAGATGACAGTTTCAAAATGAAACGCTCCACAGCTGTCCTTTTTATCACAGTCTACATAATCAAGGCCCGCATACGGCAGTAAACGGTGTGATGGTACATCCAGCACAAGATGTACACAAAGAAAAGGAAAGTGGCAGCTGTATACATGAAAAGTCTGACAAATCAAATGTTGCTCGGAGCTTTTCAATAATATAGGTCTGCTCAGCTATTCATAGCAAGAAGCTGCGTCTGCAGCAGCGCACTGCGTAGCGACCTCTTCCCATTCAGCCTACAGTGATTAAACCCAGAGACTCTTTCACCATTCAGAGCAAGAAATCACAACACAAAAGCTCATGATTTCTATCTACCCCTGAATATTCTACTCATTTCCTTTTGTGCTGCATTCTTCCTCTAATTAAAGAAGGCAAAGTATCCCGACAACACCTGATTCAATTCCCTGAGTATACATGGTGTGTGTATAGAGGCACATTATGAACATAAAGACATTCCAATTCACAAAAAAGTGAAGAGCCAATTTTCTTTATGGCTAACACCACATATTAGATATTTCTAGGTATAAAGCATTATACTACTCTGCCATTAGCCTACTACCTCTATGAGAAAGAGGTACAAATGTTTTTGTTCTGAAATATTCACTTGGTCCTTTTGATGCCCTGTGGAAAGAGAAAAAATGTGAGCCAGTGTCTCGGGACAAACTTCTGGAACTATATGTGATTCTGTTCTCACGTTGCCCATGATGCAATGTTTGTGTGAATGACGAGCAGTGTGTGGGAATAGAAAAGAGCCGTAAGTGAAGTAAACAGAATTAAATCTATAGTGCGCATTGGGGCCGAGTCAGGAAGAGCAGTAACGCCCCAAGTGTATATAATCTCATTGAGGATTGTGATTCCTACTCACCTTTGGTAACCCCTGGTGGTTGCAGAGTGTGAAACATATTCTAGGTGAAAGCTATAAATCACAAGATGGGCAATAAGTGTCTGCATGCCTCCACACACACACACATCTCCGCGTACATTGATCCAGCCTGAAGACAAATCCATTCCCCTCTGATGGATTCATTACTCCTTAATGGGCCTATTTTACATTGTTTGCTTTGAGTAACACATTGTGTCTTTGGAATGTGCTGATGTCTGAGATCAATGAGCCTTTATGAGCACGCGTCACATGACAGAAGGTGATCAGTCTTCATGTCTGACAGCTCAAATTTGGTCATATTGGTAAAACCCATGCACAAGACTGTTATAAGATAGCATAAACACATTATGATGTTTATATGCTTGGGAAATGACTTTATAAATCCCTATCATTTACTATCAGCTCGAAATGCAAATGACTTCCTTTTGCATCCAACAATTGCTCAGAGATGAAACTGGAACAGCGCCATTTCCTCGCACAGCAAAATTATTCTTAGTTTGCCGGAGGCAGATGAGGTAATTGGCCACATCATCTGTTTGTGTTACAGAATTTACATGGTTTATGTGCTGCTGCAATTAGGAGAAGCAAAACAAAAGCTTATTAAAAAGTAAATTGCGTTAGCAGTGCAATACAAAAGGCACTCTGTAAAACTGTTGAAACCAGAGTCAAACCAAGGTCACCTTTTATCCTATCCAAAGTTCCATCATCGTTGCCCCATAATTGTCTATGGCTGTAATGCTTTAGATCTCATCAATGAACAGAAAATTGAACCAAAATAGCTTCAGGAGTAACCTTGGATTAAATCCTTTTTTCTAGGCTTCACAAAGCGGAGTGTCATTAATGAATGATTTTACCGGCACAATTGTTTCATTACCGTATATTGTCCAAATCCAGTCTTTGTTTATCCCACAATGTAGGGTTTTGCTGTCATTATTTAAACTCAATCCTTTTCCATTGACATTATGTGGCTTTACAGAAAACAGAGGATGTATTTGGCAAGTTTCAAGATAATGTTTAAGAAAAAAAAAAAAAGATCAGTCACAATACTTGATAATTGAACTAAACATTGCTGCTAAATAGAGAAGTTCAAAGTGAGATATGGGCGACCTAATTTTCAACAAGTTTAGAAAAAATATCTATGTTTATTAGGCCCGAGCCCCGAACGGGGTAAGGGCCTATTGCTTTCACAATGGTGAAAACAAATGGTGGCGGTGCGTGACGGACGCGTCAGCGCCCGTCACTCACCAAAACGTGACGGTTGCGTGCGTAAACTCAAAAGCTTTAAAATGATGTATCAGGTGCCATTGAAACCTATATTGTTTTTGCTCGAGACGTTAACAAAAAAATTCCTTTTTTATTTATTTATTAGGCCCGAGCCCCTAACGGGGAAAGGGCCTATTGTTTTTGCTCGAGAGATGTCAAATTCTGCACTTTGAGCCTTAATTTCACCCCCTGAACATGCATGAAAAGTTGTAAAATTTTGACCAAACATCAGACCTGGTGAAAAATTTGATATTTTGGTGTTTATTTTTATGGGACTCAAAAAATGCCAGAACAGCGCCACCTGCAACAGCCAATGGGAGTTTCAGAGGTCAAGTTTGTCGTAGAGCCATGAAATTCGGTACACATGTTCCTCAAGTCAAGATACGACCGAAATGTTACCATGGCTCCGCCCTCTGACAAACAGGAGGCCCATAAATTTCACTGCAAAATGGAAAAATGAACAGCAAAAGTTTTCATACATGTCGGTTGGAAAGCGACTCCTCCTCGGCCGTTTCACCGATTGGCCTCCATATCACTCCACATTGTCTAAACACATGTACCATCAAAATGACCTCAGGGATTTTTGATCAGTGAAACGGTGTTTGAGCAGCGGAGCGGCAAAATGTG